CCCGGTAAACCTCATCCCACGAGGAATAACGGGGCTGCCGACAAAGGGGTTTGATGTCGACAGGGGAGCGTCCAGACTAGCGCGCTGAGCGGACAAACAGCTGATCAGCGCGGCAGCCATGTAAATGTAAATGAAGTCGCGATCATTTAAATCGCGGCTTCATTTGACTTTGCCTATGTGTCTAATCTACATGCCTCTGCCGACAGAGGCGTGTAGTCTAGACACAGCCACAGAGGCCAGGAACCCCATTCCTACCCAGCCTGGCTGACAGCCATTGATGGACCTAACCACCATGAATGTATCTGGCTCTTTTTTGAACCCTGTTAAAGTCCTGGTCTTCACAACTTCCTCTGGCGAGGAGTTCCACAGGTTGACCACGCACTGAGTGAAGAAAAACTTCCTTGGTTTGTTTTAAACCTGCTACCTATTCATTTCATTTGGTGACCCCTAGTTCTTATGTTATGGGAACAAGTCAATAACTTTTCCGTATTCACTTTTTCCATACCAGTCATGATTGTACTGATCTCTATCCTATCCCCTGAGTCTCCTCTTTTCTAAGCTGAAAAGTCCCAGTCTTTTCCATCTCTCTTCATATGGGTCCCATTCCAAACACCTAATCAGTTTTTAAATGGACACAAATAAGATATTAGGAATATCTGATTAATGGACATAAATCAGTTAATAAATGGACACAAATCAGATATCAGGAATGCAACACACACAAACCTGTAGGAGAACAGTTCAATCTCCCTGGACACACAGTAGCAGATCTAAAGGGAGCATCCTGCAGCAAAAAAACTTCAAGACCAGACTTCAAAGAGAAACTGCTGAGTTACAATCCATCTGCAAATTTGACACCATCAGTTTAGGATTAAACAAAGACTGTGAATGGCTCGCCAAGTACAAAAGCAGTTTCTCCTCTCTTGGGGTTCACACCTCTGCATCAGCTGCTAGAAGTGGGCCTCACCCTCCCTGACTGAATTAACCTCATTATCTCTAGCCTGCATATTTATACCTGCCTCTGGTACTTCCACTACATGCATCTGACGAAGGGGGTCTTTGCCCACGAAAGCTTGTGCACCAATCCATCTGTTAGTCTTTGTTGGTCTTTTCTGAACCTTTTCCAACGCCAATATATCTTTTTTGAGATGAAGCAACCACGTCTGTACATGGTGGGCGTCCCATGGTTTTCTAGAGAGGCAATAAGAGATTCTCCATCTTATTCTTTGTCCCTTTTTAAGTGACTCCTAACATTCTATTTGCTGTTTTGATGCCTCTGCACATTGAGCGGCTGTTTCCAGAGAACTCTCCACAGTGACTCCAAGATCTCTCTCGAGTAGTTGTAGCAAAATTGGTCCCCATCATATTGTATGGAGAGTTGGGATTCTTTTTTCCAATGTGCATCCCTTTACATGTATCAACATTAAATTTCATTTGCCGTTTTGTTGCCCAATCACGTAGTTTGGCGAGATCTTTTGGAGGCTCTTCACACTCTGCTTTGGTCTTAACTATCTTGAGCACTTTGGTATCATCTGCCAGTTTTCCACCTCACAGTTCACCCCTTTCTCCAGATCAGTTATAAACGTTAAATAGGATCGGTCCCAGGACGGAGCCCCGGGGGACCCCACTAATGAAAACTGACCATTTATTCCTACTCCCCTATCCCAAAAGTGTCCCCAGTTCCTAATAAATCCAACCCCCTCCTCTCTACACCATCGTCTCATCCCCGCATTGAGACTCAAGCTCTGCCTCCTACCCGGCCCTGCATGTGGAACTGGGAGTATTTCAGAGAACGCCACCATAGAGGTCCTGGATTTCAGTCTCCTAGCAGCCTAGACTTGTCCTCTAGAACCTCTCTCCTACCCTTCCCTCTGTCATTGGTACCTACGTGGCCCACGACCACCGGCTCCGCCCCAGCACGGCACATACGTCTACCCAGTTGTCTGGAGAGATCCGCAGCCTTCGCAGCAGGAAGGCAAATCACCATGCGGTTCTCCTGGTCATCGCACACCCAGCTGTCTGTTTCTCGTGATCAAATCCCCCATTACTAACCCCTGCCTTTTCCTAACGGCTGGAGTTCCCTCCCCCGGAGAGCTGGCCTTGGTGCAAGAGGAGGCCACGACATCCTCTGGAAGGAGGGTCCCAACTACGGGACGGTTTCCTGCTGCTCCAGTTGCCTGTTCTCCTTCCCTGAGCCCTTCACCCACCTCAAGAGCAGAGGGGCTGTCTGACCGGAGGTGTCCCGGAAAACCTCCTCTAGGTACCTCCCTTAGCTCCTCCAGTTCAGCCCCCTGGCTCCAAAGCCCGTCCGTGTCTCTGAGGGCCAGGAGCTCCTCGCCCCGAATGTGCACGTGCGCCCCCGCCCACAGACATGCTACACTGGTTGCAATAAACAGGACACCCTGCGCTGCTGCTGGGCTGCTGCCTGCATCCTCTCCTGCAGGGAATTAGGTGGTTGCCGGGTTTTATTTAAATCAGGCAGCTTTGGGTTTAGTTTAGTTGAAAAGTTTTCAAGAATGGATCCCGCCCCACCCCCCCAAGCTCCTCCCTCTGGCGCCAGGGAAGGAGCAATTCAGCCCCTCAGTGGCACAGAGAGATGCGGGCGAGGCAGGGACTGCCCAAGGCAGGTCAGAGCTGCCCCGTGTGGGCCGAGTTCTCTGCCGGCTTGCAACCCGGGAGCGGCCCTGCCTTCCCAGCACGGTGTGAGCATCCCTGCTGGGCAGCTTGACCCGGATGAGCGTCCCCCCACGCTGCTTTCGCACAGGCAGCGGGGGAGGGATCCGCTGGTTGTGTTGGCCAAGGGGCTGTGGGTTCGAACTCACAACCCCAGCCAAGCCAGCGAGCCTGCACTGAAAGTTGCGCCGCTCCCAGGCCAGAGGCGCCTCTGTGCAGGTGGAAGGAGGGTTTGGGCCGAGAACCAGGCGAGCCAGGCAGGGGAGACAAAGCCAGAGGCGGGAAGCTGGAAGCAGCGAAGGGGAGAGAGAGATCTGGCTGCAGGGGCAGATTCCCGAACAAGGAATCCGCCTGCTGAGGGCCAGGGAACCGGACTTGGTGTGCGTCCGTTTTGGAACTAAAACCGGCTCAGCCTCCACTCTGCCTCAGTGTCTCCTCTGAGCGGCGGCGGCACCAGGATTACGGGCTGCGGCACGGGCCAGCTCAGCACATGGGCCTGGGCTCAAGGCCCCCCCGTGACGGGCTCTTCTGGCCTGACGCTCCGGGACTCGGCCCCCTCCAAAGTGTCTCCCCGCAAGGAATTGACTCACTTTGTATCAGTCCGGGAGCGATGCCCGAGAACGAGAAATTCCCCGTTTGCTGCGGATGAGCCGGGCTCCCAGCGGGGGCGGGGGAGCGTCTGGCAGCAGAATCCCTCGCTGGTTCCAAAAAAAAGCCCCTCACCTGGTTTTCAGCCGGGAGTCGCGGCATGGAGGCGGCCCGGCCGTGCCCTTCCATGGGGAGGTAATGGTCACTGTCTGAGTAGCCGTCCTTCCCCATCTCTCTCATCTCCACAGCCTGCAGAGGGCAAGGCAGAAAGAGGACCAGCTGGTAAAGAAGCGTCACCCCCCTTTTACCACTGGGGAAACTGAGGCACGGAGCAGGGCAGGGACTTGTCAAAAGTCCTTCACAACAAATCAGGTGCCCCCCGGGAACAGAACCCAGCAGTCCCGCCTCCCATCCGCCCCCACTCCAGCCCCCTCCCCTCTCAGACTGGGGAACATAAACCCCTTGGTGGGAATCCGTCTCTCTCATTAGGCCCGGAGAGCCGCTCAGCTGGGGGACCAGCCAGCTCCCAGTGACCCTCCCCAGGTAACCCAGCCCCCGGGCTCAGACTAAGGATGTTAAGGACCAGTCGACCCCCCACAGATAGAGGCGGCAAAGGAGGGGAGAGGGTCCTTCAGTGTGGCAGCGCCTCTCGGAGCCCAGGGTCCCCAGCTGATCCCCATTTCCAATTGGCAGCGGGTCAGCAGGACTTCCCTCTGGCCTTCCGCATCCGCCTTTGAAATGTGCAGGAGCCCAGCAGGAAATTCCATGGACTACTCGATTAACCGCTAGTTACATCCTTAGCTCAGACCCGCCCCTGCGGCTGAACAGAACAGTGGGAGTGGAGGGGACAGGCACAGGGGAGACAGAGATGGGTGTGTCCGGAGATGGGGGGACGGGGCTAGATAGACAGACACAGAGAGACAAAGGGGTGCGTATAGGCAGAGACACATAGACAGAGACAGACAGGTGTCTATGGAGATATACAGACAGACGGACGGATGGGGATGGACGTGGATGGGGACAGTCAAATGGACATATGAATGTGCATGGGGATGGACAGACAGACAGACAGATAGATGGATGTGAACGGGGACAGATAAATGTGTATGGGATAGACAGAGACGGATGGATGGACGTATATGGGAACAGACAGAGATGGACGGACGGACGTGTATGGGGACAGAGACAGACGGATGGACAGATGTGTATGGGGACAGACAGACGGATGGAAGTGTATCTGGACAGAGACAGACAGACGGATGGACGGACGTGTATGAGGACTGAGACAGATGGACAGATGGACGGACGTGTATGGGGACAGACAGACAGATGGATGGACGTGTATGGGGACAGAGACAGACGGATGGACAGATGTGTATGGGGACAGACAGACGTGTATGGGGACAGACAGACAGACGGACGGACGGACGTGTACGGGGACAGAGACAGATGGACAGATGGACGTGTATGGGGACAGAGACAGACGTGTATGGGGACAGACAGACGGATGGAAGTGTATATGGACAGAGACAGACAGACAGACGGATGGACGTGTATGAGGACCGAGACAGACGGACGGATGGACGCACGTGTACGGGGACAGACAGACAATGTGCGCATGGAGACTGATCACTCCCTCACCTGGGAATTGGGACGGCTGTTGGGCATGTCGTCGGGGCGGCCTCGCTCTGGACTCCAGGTGCCCGTCTTCTGGAACATCTCCTGCGCCCGCTGGGTGACCCAGGACTGGCTCTCCTTCATGCCCCCCTCCGGCGCACTCCTGCGGGGCAGACAGGACGTCAGGCCCCGCCTCCGCACGGAGCAGAGCATGCAGCACCTCTGCCATTAGCACCCCGCCTTCCCTGGCGGCTGAAAGCTGTTCCAGGCCTGGGCTCTCACCGGGAGGACGGGGACCCCAGCCCCTGCCTCTCCCAGCAGGGTGCTGCGGGGAGCGGGGCAGGACAAGCACTTACAGGCCACCCCCTTGGTCCAGCTGGGAGGACGGGAGAGCGTTCTGTCCCAGGACCCCCTCTTGGGTGGGGGACGGCGGCTCCATCCGCTGGAACATGAGCGGCGTTCGATTCTGCAGGGGACACAGGAGGGATCAGATCTGCTCACGGGAAGGAAACGGAGCTGGAAGGAGGCCCCCAAGCCAAGCCGGGCATGGCCCCTTCTTTCTCGCTGGCTGGGAAGCTGGGCTCAGACCCACAGCTGGGGGCACTCAGGCTGCTCTACCCAACCTGCTTCCAGGAGATGAGTCTGCCTGAGCTGCCCTGGGGAGGGGAAACTGAGGCACAGAAGGGGGCTTGCCCAAGTGAGTCAGTGCCAGAGCCAGGAATCAAACCCAGGGACGTACCTGCTCCTCTCTCATGGCCTGGAGCTTCTTGGCCTTGCTCTGCCGGTAGTACTCCATGATCATCATGGCAGCATAGATCTTCCCCACCGTCAGATCCGTCGCTGGGGGAGGCAGAGGGCAGGGTGTTAGCAGCAGCCCCCCGCCCCGGTCTGGCTGGGTTGCTCCCAGAGAGCCGCGGCAGCCCGGCTCCACCCAGGAGTTCAGCCATCTCAGGCTCCGGTCCCCAAAGCCGAGCGCCCCTCTGATGGTGGGGGGAGGGGGCTTGGACTCTGGGCCCGCTCAGATCTTGGCCCTGGGCACCGCAAGGAGCAGAGGTGCCACGGAGCCAAGGGGCTGGCAGATCCCGCAGGGCGGATGGATGGACAGACGGACTTCTGTGCTGAGAGGCTGGGCGTCCCCAGGGCTCCCCTTGCCAGAAGGCTCCTGGAAAGTCCTGAGGCTCTAACCACTAGGCCCCTCTCCCCCCCCACACCCCAGGGTAGAGCACAGGAGTCCCAACGCCCAGCCCCCCAAAGCACAGAATGAGCCAGCGCCAGCAGCAGCGGTGAGGGCGGATGGATGGACAGACGGACTTCTGTGCTGAGAGGCTGGGCGTCCCCAGGGCTCCCCTTGCCAGAAGGCTCCTGGAAAGTCCTGAGGCTCTAACCACTAGGCCCCTCTCCCCCCCCACACCCCAGGGTAGAGCACAGGAGTCCCAACGCCCAGCCCCCCAAAGCACAGAATGAGCCAGCGCCAGCAGCAGCGGTGCCCAGTGACCAGGCCAATGGGGTGTGGGGGATGGTGTCGGGGCCCAGGGCCGGGCCAACGGGGTGTGGGGGATGCTGTGGGGGCCCGGGACCCAGGGCCGGGCCCATCCCAGGCAGGCTCCCACCCAGGCTGCTGGGCTCTCACATTTGTGAGGGGTGACGAGCAGATCCAGGTTCTTGTGGGAGAGGTTGGGCCAGATGGCCATCATCTCCTTCCGCAGCTCCGCGTCCATCTGCTGCTTGTCTGCTCCTCCTGTAAGGCACCAGCCGGGGCCAGGTCAGCAGCTGGGCACCGGACCTGACTGACCCCCAGGCAGTCGCCAGCAGCCCCCCAGCCAGAGCCCCTGCCCTGTAGCGCCCCCTGCTGCGAGATGCTGGGACCTCCCTGCCCCCAGCCAGAGCCCCTGCCCTGCAGCGCCCCCTGCTGCGAGTTGCTGGGAACTCCCTGCCTCAGCCAGAGCCCCTGCCCTTGAGCGCCCCCTGCTGTGAGATGCTGGGAACTCCCTGCCTCCAGCCAGAGCTCCTGCCCCCTCCTGCAGCGCCCCCTGCTGCGAGTTGCTGGGAACTCCCTGCCTCAGCCAGAGCCCCTGCCCTTGAGCGCCCCCTGCTGTGAGATGCTGGGAACTCCCTGCCTCCAGCCAGAGCTCCTGCCCCCTCCTGCAGCGCCCCCTGCTGCGAGTTGCTGGGAACTCCCTGCCTCAGCCAGAGCCCCTGCCCTTGAGCGCCCCCTGCTGTGAGATGCTGGGAACTCCCTGCCTCCAGCCAGAGCTCCTGCCCCCTCCTGCAGCGCCCCCTGCTGCGAGTTGCTGGGAACTCCCTGCCTCAGCCAGAGCCCCTGCCCTTGAGCGCCCCCTGCTGTGAGATGCTGGGAACTCCCTGCCTCCAGCCAGAGCTCCTGCCCCCTCCTGCAGCGCCCCCTGCTGCGAGTTGCTGGGAACTCCCTGCCTCAGCCAGAGCCCCTGCCCTTGAGCGCCCCCTGCTGTGAGATGCTGGGAACTCCCTGCCTCCAGCCAGAGCTCCTGCCCCCTCCTGCAGCGCCCCCTGCTGCGAGTTGCTGGGAACTCCCTGCCTCAGCCAGAGCCCCTGCCCTTGAGCGCCCCCTGCTGTGAGATGCTGGGAACTCCCTGCCTCCAGCCAGAGCTCCTGCCCCCTCCTGCAGCGCCCCCTGCTGCGAGATGCTGGGAACTCCCCCAGCCAGAGCTCCTGCCTCCCCTGCAGCGCCCCCTGCTGGGACAGAGCCAGGCTGGAGCAGTTGTGGATTTCCTCTATAAGGTGGGGCCCAGAGCAGCCCCCTGCTGGTCAGACCCCACCCTGCCCACAGGAGTCAACTCCCCAGGCGCCAGAGCCAGCCACTCGCCTTTGGCGATCTTGATGTCCAGCGCCGTCCTGATCAGCGCCATGAGGGTGGAGTTGAAGTGCACGGTGTTGTCGTCAGCCACAGGCAGGTCCATGCGGAGCAGCCTCTGCGGAGAGGCAGACGTGTGTCACCCTGGCAGCCCCCCCGCCCTGGGCCGGTGCGAGTGTCAAACCAGTGGAGCCCTGGGGAGAACTCTGAGGTGTCGCCGGGTTCAGTGCTCAGGGATCCCCAACTCCTGCTGACCAACACCCGCCCCTGGGCGCCCAGTGCCAATGAACAGGCACCGGCTTCACATCTGCCTGCCGTGGCCTCTGCCTGCCCCGCTCTCACCACATGCTGCTGGCTTTTGGGAATGGACCCAGAACTGCCCCCTTTTAGAGACGGGCAAACAGATGTCACTGATGCCTGCTGAGTGGCAGAACTGGGAACAGGCCCCGGTAGGCCTGGCTCTACAGGCTGCTTTAACCGCTGTTCCAGTCTCATCCCAGAGCCAAGATGAGAACCCGAGGAAACCTGACTCCCAGCTCTGCCCACTAGACCACACTCCCTAGCAAAGCCAGGAATAGAACCCAGGAGCCCTGACTGCTAGCGCTGGTCTCTAACCACTAGCCCCCTCTCCCTTCCGACAGCTGGGCTGAGAAGCCAGCAGCCCTGCTCCGACCCCAAGGCCCCACCTCTCCTGGTTGGACTGCCCCCCTCCACCCCCAGAGTTCTTTCCAAAGGGCTTGCTGACTTTTTGGAGAAACGTAAAATTGAGAGAAAGAAATCGACAGACAAGAAAGAAACACAAAGGCCATGTTGCAAGGCAGCGGCGTCCGCAAAGGAAAACGGGGGTGCTCACTGCCCGGGGTGCAGGCGGTCCCATCCAGCACAGGGCTCATGCAGCGGGCATGCAGCATGCAGCAGAAAGCATGCCCAGAGAACACATGGAGACTCAGTCACAGCTCCGGTCTAGACTGCTCTGGCGGGAGCGGCCCGCAGGCGGCGTCCTCCCGGTGCAAAGGGAAGGGATGAAACAGATCAACAGAAAAAGATGCTCAGGGCTGGCTTGGACAGGGGCCAACCAGTTAGTGCATTAGCTAAGATCAGGCTGTGGACCATGTGGTGACAGGGTCGGGGGTCTCTTCTGGTCTCTACTGGGAAGTAACTGACGAAGGTGGGGGAGGGACAGCAAAACAAGAAGGGAAAAAGACGGGGTGGGGTGGGGTGGTAAGACAGACAAGCAGGATGGAGAGAAAATCAGCTGGCTTGGACAGGGGCCAACCAGTTAGTGCATTAGCTAAGATCAGGCTGTGGACCATGTGGTGACAGGGTCGGGGGTCTCTTCTGGTCTCTACTGGGAAGTAACTGACGAAGGTGGGGGAGGGACAGCAAAACAAGAAGGGAAAAAGACGGGGTGGGGTGGGGTGGTAAGACAGACAAGCAGGATGGAGAGAAAATCAGCATGAAGATGCCCTGGAGCGTGGTGTCCAGAAAACGGGGCTCTGCAGAGACTGGCATGAGGCCAGAGGGGGGAAGCTGTTTCAGGGGTTCACTAGTGAGGGAGGCCTGGCTCCACATCCGTCCTCCCGGCTCACAACACTTGCACTCGTGCCGTTTCCAACCTGCCAGCAATCGGGCACCCCACAGTCCAGGCAACAGTGTTACATGGGCCCAATGGCGGCTCTGGGGTTCGAGTCCCGGGACGATTGCCAAGATTCAAATATTCCTTGTGCTGGGTCCCAACCGGACCCCCCAGTACAGCAGAAACCAGGACCCCATGTGATTATCCAGACAGCCACATTCCGGCCAGGTCAGTGCAGCTGGACCACGTGGGTTCTTGCCCTCGGATGCTGATGCCCAGATCAATCTGTTAGTCTGGTGACACCGGATTCCCCGTTGTTTTTGCTCAAACAGAGTAACCCAGCCACCCCTCTGAGACTGGTCATGTTAGGACAGGTGGCCGGGCTGTCCCAGAATGCCCTGGCGCATACACGATTCTGCAGCCAGGGAGACGTGGACAGTCCAGACCGTGGTATGCAGTAACTTCATTGAATGAGTCTGCGGGCAACACGGTGCTCCCATCAGAGCAGACCCCAGCCCCGGCAGGACTGGCCCATAACGGTTCTCTTGAGGTCGAAGGGACCGGGCTGGGTTTTCCAATGGAGCCGCCTGGTTCCCAGCTCCGTGCGCTGAGGAGGGCCTCAGAGCGAGGGTGGCGGGAATGCAGCCAGGCGCACTCGCTCTGCAGGGGCCACCAATGCAGCGGTTTTCTGGACAGCAGCTGGCATGGAGGAATGAGCCGAGGGAGAAAGTGGAGAATGGGGGGAGGCGTGGCAAAGACTCGGTGGGTATGAGAGACTCCAGTGGACTGAGCGGAGAGCCCAGTGGGGTCTGGACAGAGCGAGAGGAGCGAGAACAGATGGGCAGACTGAGGAGTAAGGACATGGTGCAAACCTATTGCAGCTGCTGTTTGAAGAGCTCTGTACAATGGGGAAACTGAGGCACAGAGAGGGGGCACAACTTGCCTGTGGAACAAATGGCAGAGCTGGGACTGGAACCTGGGAGTCCTCACACCTACTCCCATGCTCTAACCACGATCCCTCCCCAAGCCAAGAACAGAACCCGGGAGTCCACCTGCCCTGCGCTAACCACTAGACCTCACCTTCCTCCGCACTGCAGAACAAGACAAGGCGTCCTCAGTCCCTTAGCCTCACTAGCATGGCACACATCACCCTCCTCCTTTTCTAATCAGCCCACTTAAGGCAGTGCAGTCCCCTGCCATAGAGCTGCCTGCCCCACGGACGCTATGGGCACGAGGGAAAGGCAGCGCGTCGGAGGCCCTGTGCCCATCCCCCGAGCGCTACGGTTCAAACCTCCTCCCCACTCTGATGTGCGGTGCAGGAACAAGCACTGGGCAGGGAGCTGAGCTCGGCCCACGTCCAGCGTGAAGTCTAAGGGTCTTGCCCCGTGCTGCCCTCTCTCAGCTCCTGGAGCTGTAGGAAAGATAACCAGGGAATTCCCAGGCCTCGTGGTGTTGGATGAAAACGCGACTGGGCACAGCTCTAGAGGCTCAGGCCGTGGGCGCCAGGCCTTTGCTGGCCTCGCTCTGCCAGTCAGCTGTGAAGAGGTGGGAACCGGACGGGGCTGCACCATTGCACGCAGCCCTTGAGTGCACGCCCACACCTCCTACCACAATGCTGGACTCTCTCCACCCCCCGCCTCGGGGGGAGCGGTGCCCCAGAGGCCCAATCCCCAGTGAGGCCCGGTTTACACGGCACTCGGCCTAGTAGTGCCACATCGCTTGGGGGGCCTGACGCTACCCCACCCCTCCACTAGCCAGGGCCCTTGGCTCAGCACTGCAGGTTCCCCCACCCTGACGGGAGGAGCTACGAGGCACTTTCGTACCAACGCAGCAGCAACCCAGCTAGGAATCGTGCTGGCTTCTCCGGCCAGAACCAGCCCCCAGTGCAGCTAGACAGGCCTCCGCCCGGGGAGCCAGGCTCAGGCCGACGCTAGAACGTGCTGCTGATGCAGCGAGGTGGCTGGGGCATTTCTCTAGCGCTGCTTCTATAGGGACAAAAGCCCAAGTCCAGGAACCTGCTGATGTCAACTGGGAAACTGGTCTAAGCTGCCTTGACCAGTGCTGCGTCTCCAGTGGGCAGGGTGGCCAAGACAGCCCTGCCAAATCCATGGCCCCGGCCTATAGCGCATGCCCTGATGCAACTTACTCATCTACACTGGCACCTTTTGTCGCCAAAACCTGCGTGTGGTTGACAGACTCGTGAGAGCGCACACGCCATGACCCAACTTTTGTTGGGAAAAATGCCTGGGTTTGGCGACAAAACCCTTCCAGCCCTGCGAGAGACTTCTGTCTCCTCCTCCCTTTATTGTCGACAAAGAGCCAGCATGGACCCTGCTGTGTCAAGAGAACAGACCTCTGCCAGTACCACACATGCCTGCCCTGATGGCTGTGCTCAGTGTTTTGTGATCTCTGCTGCCCTGCAGGCAGGCACCCCTCCCCTTTCCAAGCTCTGGGAAGTAGCTGACCGCTGAGTGACACAAAGCACAACTCCTTGGAACGTTCCTGTTCTGCCAGCTAGGAGCCCAGCGGCAGGCTGCTACTGCTGGGGGAGGGCTGGAGAGGTGGCTGTGCTGCTTTGACGTTCCTCAGCACGGAGCGCTCCCAGAGCTATGAGGGAATCCCAAGAAGCGCGGGGATCAGCTCTGCCTTTCCACCACACTTCCCTGGGGGCTGCTTGCCCACAATGCTTTGCTCTGTCTGGCCACAGAGTGCTGGCAGCGTGGCCATGAAACGTTGACAATGGGAGGCAGAAAAACCGGCGTGACTGGTTTTCACTTTTGGCGATTTTGCACGTTGATAGCACTTTTCTCGCCAACCCTTCCCCGTGTAGACAGAGCCCTAGCTCTTACGCCGTTGGACATGGCCGCTCGGCTGTGCCTGCGGCTGGCTGTCCCGTTAGCTCATCTGGGAGAGGCGCAGTAGGGTCCTGGTTCCACTCTGGCTGGCAGCCCGGGATAGGAGCAGGAGCAAACTCTGCCTCTGAGACTAGCCCTGGCCCATCTTCCCTCTCCCTCGTCTCTCCCAAACAGCAGCAGCAGTGGCCTGGGGTAGGGAGCATGTACTCTGTGACTGGCTGGCGGAGAGGCAGACACGGGGGAAGGAGGAGCAGCAAGGGGGCCTGCGAGAGCATCAGGGAGCGCAGGAAGCAGCGGTTTGTGGCTCGACAGTCACAAGGGAGACCTGTGGCCCTGCCCTGCCGGGAAAGGCAGGAGAGAGAATGGGGGGAGGTGAGCAGCAGAGATGGGACGGACGGAGGGTGACGAGAGGAGGGGAGAAGCTGCGACAGGGTAGAACTGCATTGACAGAGAAGGGGCCGGGCCGGGAGGAAACGGGGGAGCGAGAAAGGTGAGTAGTTACTCTCGTCTCTGGGGGCAGATCTGGTTGCAAGCAGCACAAGAGAGCTCCCCGGGGGCTGGTTTCGGATGGGGACCCGCTCCCAGGACAGAGAGCCAGGGTTTTCGACAGTGCCGAGCCCCCTGCCAGAGGAGGCCTCGTGGGGGGGTCACAGGCGACTGGGGGCTGACACGGGCACCCAGCCCTGGCCTGAGCCACTCACCTGCCAGTGAAACTGCTGCCGTTTCACCTGCTGAATCCCAGGAGTGAGCTCAGCTCCAGGGGAGCCCTGCACCAACAAGGAGCCCCTCGGATTTCTCAACCTCCATGGCTGCCTGTGGGGATCCAACTGCAAAATCGGGGCCTTGGTGCTTGTCACAGGGGGAGACTGACCAGCACTGCTGGGCCAGAATTGCTGCTGTAGAACAGCTGGACTAACAAGGCCTACCACCACGCAGCCTACCAGGGCCATGGGTGCTAGAAGGAGGGGGGCCGGGTCGCAGCACCCCCTACCAGGGAGGCCGGTCTCACTATCACAGAGAGGCCAAATGACTTGCCCTGGATTGTCCAGCCGCAGAGCTGGAACCCAGCTCTCCTGACTCCCAGCCTAGTGCTCTAGCTGCTAGGCCACACTGCCACGTTCACACGCTGCCCTGTTCCGCGAGAACATCCCTCTGCAGACAAGCCCTGAGGCCACGTTCCAGGCACTGGCTCGAACTAGCCAAACACCAGCCTGGTGCAAACTGAAATCAGTCTCCACGCAGCCTGGGCCCCGGTTTTTCATCGAATGTCAGTTCTAGATCCTGCAGCCAGCGGGGCCCATTTCAGTCCCCCAGGTTAGCCGCCTGTAGACTTCATGAGCCCAGGCTGCCTGAATCCATTCCTGTCTGACCTCCAGGCGACCCTTCTGAAAAACATCCAATCTCGATTTGAACGCTGCTGATGCTGGAGAAACCATCCCAGCCCGCGGAAAGTCGAGCCAATAGCTCCTCGCCCTCTTAAAAATCTGTGCCTAAACTGACACCCGGCCCACGTCCACGTCCAGCACTGAATCCTTTGCCTCTTGTCCACTCCCAGCATCTGCCCTGCAAGTAGCTTGAATTAGCCATACTCCGGGGGTTCCTCGTGAGTCGACCCAGCTCGACCGAGAGGGACCCATAACACCCGAAGCGCAGCACCCACACATCGGGGGGGGGGGGGGACTGAGAATGCCACTCGAGGGACGCAAGCCAGCTGCCATGCTACGGAAGAGTCCTGTTAGCAGCTGCCAAGTTGTGCTCCAGTTTTAGTGCCAGCTGGAGTAGAAAGCACCACGGCACTTGAACGGGGGTGGGTGGGAGCCGGGCAATGCCTGGATGATAACTCGAGTTAGCCTGAAAACCCAAGGAATAGTCTAGCAGCACCTTAAAGACTAACAAAACAAAACGTAGCAGCCAAGCCCTGGCGGGCCCTCTCCTCACCATCCACATCCCACTGTAGGAGTGCTGGATCTCCCACAATGCACTGCGGCCAGAGATACAGCCACATTTGTTTAAAGAGCCATTGTATGGCCACACAGAAAAAGTGCCAAACAAACCCAAGATTTTGCAAACAAACTGCCCATCCAGGTCGCAACTCACAATCACGAAACGGAGCGTCTGATTTCCTTTCTACTCCTGAGGTTGTTCAGGCTTCCTGTGCCGAGGAAGGGAGGCAGGGAGACATGACTGGCCTGTGTTCATCTGCTGAACATGAGACACCCTCGCATGCTGCCTGGACCACAAAGCACAAATACCTCCACGCGTCAATTTCACTTCCGTGCCCTAGTCAATTTCACTACCCGGCTCCGCCCCTCAGCAGCAATGCTGGAATCCTGTCCTGAGCTGGTCACATGCCAACACGCACCTTCCCCTGGATCCAAGGGAGATTCTGGGCAGCGCTGAAGGACGGGGAGACTGGGTGACACACCTACACGTTGGCCAGATGTCCCAGGGCTCACAATCGGGCTCTGATGGCCCAGCGAAGCCAGAACTTGTGGCTCCCTCCTGGGGAGGCATCCGAATTGTTTGAGAATCTGACTGAGCCCTTGTCTGTCCACTTGGGGCCACGTCCCAGCGTCCCTCCGCGGGGGGGACAGGCTGCGTGAGCCGCACGCCAGCACAGCTCCCCACGCGCCTCTCTCATCGCCACACCAGTGCGGCCAGGCCAACGTCTCTGCGGACAGACTCTACAGAGGGGCGGGGAGCTGCTGACAGGCTGGCCCAGTCTGTTCCCACAGCGCCAAGCACAAAGGCCCCTGATCTAGGCTGTGAGGCCTCCAAAGCACCTCTGCTGCTAACGAGGGTGATTGGCACGGCCTCTCCTGCCCCCTCCCTGGCTGATCACTCTGAAAGGAGGGACCAAGGGCTCTGCGCCATGGCGCTGCCACGGCTTTGTATCCCAGCCTGACTTAAAGCGCAGAAACGCCAGTGGAGTCGCCCGCTGATTTCCGGCCCTGACCTCTTCCCATCGCCCAGCTCTGTACTAGAGTGTTTCCATTTCCACCCACCCTTCCCCCACCCTCTGAGGAAATCCGTAACGCCTGAGCTGGGGTAGGGCACTCAGAATGGGATGGCTTATCCTGCGGGGCGGGGCGGGGCGGGGCGGGGGGGGTCCATTAGGGCACTCAGAATGGGATGGCTTATCCTGCGGGGCGGGGCGGGGCGGGGCGGGGGAGCTCAATGTTTGAAAGCAACGTCTCTTCCACTGAATCAGAAAAGGCTGGGCAGGAGGAATCCTGGAAAAGGGGAGGGCAGAGAATTCACATGCACCTTGGACTTCAGTTCTTACCCACCCCAGCCGACTTGCCATAATGGAGTCTCTGAAACATGAAATGCTAACGGACTCAAACGGACACATCGTACTGCTTAAGAGATTTGATCAAGGGAAAAAAACACAAAGAAATGTATAAAAAGAGAATTGTAGCGGCTGATTTCTTAAAAAAAAATGTTTTGGTTAAAAAAAAATTAAAAAAAAAGTAAGTGACTTTGATTTGCATGTTTTTGTCTCTTTGATTTAGTCTACCTTATAAGCAACCCGGGGTGGGCATTTCTTCCCTAACCCAAGGGGTGGAGACATATGCCTCAGCATCTCATACATATCCGTGAAAGTCATCCGGCCCCTGGTAGCGGAAAGGAAAAAAAAAAGCACGAAAAAAATAGACAAGAGAGAGATGCAAAGAAGAAAAAAAATATTGTAAATCAATTTCAAAAGAAAGGGCAGGAAAAATGGAAGAAAAAATGCGAAGATTACTTTGCCGCTCCTCGGTCTGCCACCCTCCGCGTCGCTAACCGCCTTTGCCTGGGAAAGGGACCAGCTGGTTCAGCAAAGCACTGAAGTGCCATCACCAGCAGCTTGTTTGGGGCCTCCAGTGGGGCCTGAGTACGGCCCTTGCTGGAGAAACGTGAGTGTGGGCTCGGGCTTAAGCGCTTTGCTGGGGCCCTGAAGTCTTCGGGCAAAATCCGCCCAAGAGGGAGGGCAGTAGGATGGGGGCTGCCTTTGTAGCAAAGAACAGGAAAGAGAGAGAGGGAGCCTAGCTCCAAGTGCACCTCTTTGCCAGTGGTGGGGAGGGAGAGGAGGTGGCGGGCAGGCGGGGTGGGGAAGGGAAGAGATAAATGGCAGAGGTGTCAATGCAGTTTCCATCCTCCCCAAATGAAAAAAAAAACAAAATCGATGTGTGAAGGGTGGAGTGTGTGTGGAGGGAGACAGGGGGACAAACCCTCGCGGCCTAGCTCCAGCTAACAGCAAGCAGAAAGGGCTCACAGTCCCCGAGATGCTCCATGCGGCACTGGGCGGGCGGCGTCCTCGTACGCATTCTGCTTGCTATGTACGGGACCGGGTTACTTCTTGGAAAGTGCAGGAGCCCGAGATGTGTGGGGATATATATATATGAAATATATATATTAAAAACCATAAGCAACATTCATTCCGTGGATGCTAGCAGGTTTTAGTGTAAGTCAAACCTTGCAAGCAACCCTATGAGGGCATTTCTTGCCTAAGCCCAGTGGGGGAGATATAACCCGTAATAAACTGTACATATCCTTATAATGAATTCGGCCACTGCAAGAAGAATACAGGGGTTAGTGCAGACGCTACAGGGCAAGAGAAACACACCAACTGTCATGTACACACCGATCCCAGCAAGGCTGTCAGGAGAGGGCCCATGGACCCGCGAGGCCCAGGCTGCCTGGACTGATTGGTCGGGGGGGGGGGGGGGGGCTCCAGCAGGAGGGGAGAGTGCTTGACCTGGGCAGATCAGGAGTCTGCTGTCAACGTTCCTCCCACACAGCAGTTGGCAGGCCACAGTTGGCTAATATGTCCCAGAAAGTGGGTGTGTTACGGGGAAACCGAGGCACAGCGCTGCAGGGTAGGGGGGAGAGGGACTTACTGGAGGTCACACAGGGAGCCATCAGCAGAAGTGGGGACAGACACCAGGAGTCCTAGCTCCCAACCCTGGTCTGCTTTAACCCACCAGTCTCCCACATCCCCCACCCACAGTTGGGGTCAGAATCAGGGGTCCAGGCTCCCAGCTGTTTTCGTCCCATCGGCCGCTGCCCAGGGCCCGAGGCAAAGCCCAGGGAAGTCAATGCAAAGGCCGCCATGGATGCCAAGGGGTTTGGGATCTGGACCCTACTCGTTGCTTTCCTCTCCCGGGGGCAAAGGACCCTCCTGCCAATGCGGGATCAGGGCTTTTACCTGCCGATGGCACGGGGCCGGGGACTGCTGCTGGGCTCAGCAGGGCCTGCCAGGTAGGGCTGGCTACACCGGACCCACTGGGCATGTGTGGCCCAGAGGCGGCAGCCCCACGGCCCAGAACTAAAACCAACGTGCCAGGAACCCCCTGCCGGGGCAGGCCAGCCCCAGGACTCCCAGCGCCCGAGGCCCCGTGTCTAGCCAGTGGCCTCTCCCAAGAGTGCTGACTGTGCCATCCTGCCCGGACTGCGGGGGGCGCTGTCTGCACGGTGCAGGGGGAACCACAGGACGCACCAGGCCAGGCCAGGTAAACAGCCCTGGGGGTTCCTCCGCCCTCTCCCCGGCCCGCTGGACAGCACGCTACCAGGTGCGGGGAGCCCGGGACAGCGCCAGGAACAGCAGAGCGACCCCCCCGGATGGGAGAGGGGGGCTGCAATTTGTTTGGGGCAGGGGGCGGGTGGTTGGAGAGAAAACATCTGCAAA